AACTCAGGGTCAATTCTGTTTCATCTATTCTCTGACCCACATCTCCCCTTCTGTTATATTGAAGCAAATCCCAAAAATATTATTTCATCCATCTGTGTACATTTTTAATGACTGTATGGTATCTCCATATTTATATATTTATATATAAAACAGACAATCCTCTGTTTTTGGACATTTGCAGCTTTTATTTTTATCATTCAAACTATAACATTATAACTGCTACCACATATTTTTAATTAGTGAAATACCAACAGCTTTTTCACATTACCTTTACATATTTTCTTATTTTTATCCTCACAACTTCCTGTAAAGTATGTAGAGCAGTTATATTAACCCTATTTTATACACAAGAATTTTAGAGCCCAATGTCAAACTGTTGGTAAATAGTAAAGTAAGAACTAGAACCCAGATCTGTTGAATTAAATTTATTCATTTTAAACTAACCCTTGCTAACTTAAAGTTATTCATACGAGTAACACATGCATATCATAGAAATATGCTGCATTAAAAATTTCTATGTAGAGGACTGGCCCCATGGCGTAGTAGTTAGGTTCATGTTCTGCTTTGGAGGGTTTGGATCCCCAGTGTGGACCTAGCGCCGCTCCTCAGGCCATGCTGTGGTGGCATCCCATATAAAATAGAGGAAGATTGGTACAGATGTTAGCTCAGCGACAATCTTCCTCAAGCAAAAAGAAGAGGATTGGCAACTGATGTTAGCTCAGGGCCAATCTTCCTCACAAAAAAGAAAAGAATTCTATATAAATATTCATTGAACACTCATTAAGTATTAGATATTATGCTGGACACTTTCCTGTTTAATCTTCACATAAATGCTGTGAGGTAAGTGTTATCTCATTTTACACATAAGGAATGGAGACTTAGAAAAGTTAGATGACTTACCCGTCATTATACACCTAGTATGTAGTGGAATCTGGATTCTCATTTAGGTCTTCTTGCCTCCGAGTTCAGCACTCTTTCCACTGTTCCCTATATTAATGTTTCAAAGACTACCCCTTTTTTATTAAAAAAACTAAAATGACTTTTTGAACATGTCTTTTTAATTGACTCATATTCAAAGCCATATACATATGATTGTCACATCCAGCAAATTTAGCCTGTTTATTTGTAACCTTGTATCCCAAGTTCTGTGAAATGCTCTGTGTGTGTGTGTGTGTAATACTTTTTGTAATGGAAATAACCATTTTTGTAAGGTTATTACTTGCTACTAAGCTTTTAGAATTTTACTGAGTGACTGGTATGTGCAAGGTGTGGTGTTATGGAGAATATAAAGGGTACTCACACGTGAAGTCTGTCTTCAAGCAACTTGCATTGTAGTTGGGAAAATAGTATAAGGTAGAAATGCAATGCCATAGGAGCAGAAAAAAGTTATTTGGCAGTGGTAAAAATAATACTATCCTTCATACAGGCATATTGCTTTACAGATATCATTTCATTCAATAATTTATATCGAATACCTACTGTGTATAAAAACCTGTATTAGGGTATGTAACAGTGAGGCAAACAGACAAGGCTTCTGCCCTCACTGTTATCACTAGAAACCAAACATTTCAGAAAGAGAAATCCGACAAGATATTTGTATAGTCCTTGTCTTAGTCCATTCAGGTTGCTATAACAAAATACCACAGACACGTAGCTTATAAACAGAAATTTCTCTCAGTTCTGAAGGCTGGAAGTCTGAGACCAGGGTGCCAGCAACATTGGGTGAGGACCCTCTTCGGGGTCACAGACTGCTTGTTGTATCCTCACATGGCAGAAGGAGCTAGTTAGCTTCCTGGGATCTCTTTCATAAGGGCACTAATTCCATTCATGAGGGCCCCACTCTCATGACCTAATCACCTTCCGCAGGCCCTGCCTCCTAACACCATCACATTGGGCATTAGGATTCAAACGTGTGAATTGCAGGAGGAACACAAACATTCAAAACCATAGCCCCTGGCCCCCCAAAATTCATGTCCTTCTCTCATGCAAAATACATTCATTCCATCCCAACAGCCCCAAAAGTCTTAACTCTTCCAGTGTCAACTTAAAAGTCTAAAGTTCAAAGTTTCATCTGAATATCATCTAAATCAGATATGGGTGAGACTCAAGATATGATTCATTATGAGTAAAATTCCCCTCCAGCTGTGAATCTGTGACATCAAACAAGTTATGTGCTTCCAAAACACAATGGTGGGACAGGCGTAGGACAGACATTTCATTCCAAAAGGGAGAAGTAGGAGAAAAAGAAAGAGTGACAGGTTCCAAGCAAGTCCAAAACCCCACAAGGCAAACAACATTAAATCTTAAGGCTTGAGAATAGTCTTCTTTAACTAGATGTTCTGCCCTCTGGGGCAGAGTCCTACCTTCCAGACCCTCCTGGAGGGGGTGGGAGATTTTGCCTCCTGGACACACGGCAGCATCCCCACACCCATGGCTCTGCTGGCAGCAGCCATGTGGCAGCTCTCATGGATTGGAGTTTCATGCTGCTGATTGTACCAATCTGGGTCCCAGGGGAGGCCCCACTGCCATCATGGCTCCACTGGGCGTTGCCCTGGTAGGGGCCGTCTTCAGTGGCTTCGCCCTGGAGATGGCCCTCTGCTTGGGCTGTGCACCTGCGACTCCAGGTGTCTCCATCCTTGTAAATCTAGGTGGAGGTAACCATGCCCCCACAGCTCTGCTAAAGGTCATGGCTTAGGCTGCACCAGTTTGGTTTGGGTCTCCACCTTGGTTTGGGCAGAGGTTGTCTGGCTTGTTGAAACCCCAGGCAATGGTCCCCCCACTTTTTGAAACTGAGGAGGCAGCACTGGTAATCTCCAAATTGCATTTAGGGTCTTTCTTTCCTTGTCTTGAGGAATAGCCTATGTTCACAGCCATATAGCTCTATGGTCCCACCCTGTAAAATCTAAGTCCTTCCTCCTTCCTTCCTATTCTGTTCAAACCGACTATTTTCATGCTACTGTGGCTGATAAATCTGTGGGTCACACCTATACTAGTTCCTTAATCAGAAGATGGTTTGGCCACACCCTGCTCTTTCCTGAAAAAGCTTTCTCGTTTCTTTCAATACGGATAGGTTGAAAAACTTCCAGATTTTTAGGTTCTGCTTACTCTTTGATCAACAATTCCATCTTTAAGTCATTTCTCTGTTCTTGCATTTTACTTTAAGCATTCAAGAAGAACCAGGCCACTCCTTGAACACTTTGCTTAGGAATTTCCCCAGCCAAATATCCAATTTCATTGCTCACAAGTTCTGCCTTTCACAAAACACTGGGACACGAAGACAATTCAGTGAAGCTCTTCGCTCCTTTATAAAAAAGGCTCGTCTGTGCTCCAGTTTCTAATAACAGGTTTCTTATTTCCATCTGAGACCTCACTAGAATGGCCTTTACCATCTGTCATATTTCTACCAACCTTCTGTTCACCACCACTTAGGTATTCTCTAAGAAATAAGACGGCTTTCTCTGCAGCTTTGCTGGTCTCCTGGGCTCTCACCAAAATTGCTTTTAGTGGTCTGTCCATAGCAGTAGGTTTTTTTCTACAAAGCACCTCAAAATTCTTCCAGCCTCTACCCGTTACCCAATTTCAAAGTCACTTCCACATTTTTAGGTGTTTGTTACAGCAGCACTCCACTCTCAGTACCAATTTTCTGTCTTACTCCGTTCTGGCTGCTATAACAAAATATGATAGACTGTATAGCTTATAAACAATAGGAATTTATTTTTTATAGTTCTGGAGGCTGGAAGTCTGAGATCAGGGTACCAACAAGATGGGGTTAGGGCCCTCTTCTGGGTTGTAGACTTCTTGTATTTTCACCTGGAAGGAGGGGCTATGGAGCTCTGTGGAATCTTTTATAAAGACACTAATCCCTCAGGACTTACTCACCATCACATTGGGTGTTAGGATTATAATACATGAATTCTGGGAAGACACAAACATTCAGACCAAAGCAGTCCTCTTAAGAAACTATTGTCTTTATTGTTACTATTTTTATTATTTTTTTCTTCTTCTTCTTCTCCCCAAAGCACCCCCAGTACATAGTTGTATATTCTGGTTGTGAGTGCTTCTGGATGTGCTATGTGGGACGCTGCCTCAGCATGGCCTGACAGTGGTGCCATGTCTGCACCTGGGATCTGAACTGGTGAAACCCTGGGCCGCCGAAGTGGAGCACATGAACTTAACCACTCGGCCACGGGGTTGGCCCCAAGACTTTACTTTTTTTTAGAGCAGCTTAAAGTTCACAGAAAAATTGGGGGAAGGTACAGAAATTTTCCGTATATTCCCTGCCCCCACACATGGATAGCCTCCCCCATTATCCACATTCCCCACCAGAGTGGTACATTTGTTACAATTGATGAACCTACATTGACACATCATAATCACCTGAAGTCCACAGTTTCACTCTTGGTATTGTACCTTCCACGTGGACAAATGTATAATGACGTGTATTCATCATTATGGTATCATACAGAGCACTTTCACTGCCCTAAAAAGCTTCTGTGCTCTGTTTATTCATCCCTCCCACCACTTGCCAACCCCTGGCAACCACTCATCTTTTTATTGTCTCCATAGTTTTCCAGACTGTCATAGAATTGGAATCATACAGTATGGAGCCTTTTCAGATTGGCTTCTTTCACTTAATAATATGGTTTAGGTTTCCTCCGTGTCTTTTCATGGCTTGATGGTGCATTTCTTTTAGTGCCAATTAATATTTCATTGTCTAGATGTACCACAGTTTATTTATCCATTCACCTACTGAAGGACATCTGGTTGCTTCCAAGTTTTGGCAATTATGAATAAAGCTGTTGTAAACATCTGTGTGCAGGTTTTTGTGTCTACATAAGTTTTCAGCTCCTTTGGGTAAATACCAAGGAGTGCAATTGCTGGATCTTATGGTAAGAGTATGTTTAGTTTTGTAAGAAATCACTAAAACGTCTTTCAAACTGGCTGTACCATTTTGCATTCCCACGAGCAATGAATGAGAGTTTCTATTGCTCCACATCTTCGCCAGCATTTGGTGCTGTCAGTGTTCTGGATTTTGGCCATTCTAATAGTGTGTCAGTCATTTTTTTTTTCACTAGCAAAATTTTACAGATCAGCAACTTGTTTGTGGGTTTTCCTGTTTTTCCTGGCAATCTCAACAGTATTCAAAACTGAGCCTCCACAGGGCAAAAATTCTCCTGAGAACATAATGTAGTTACATAGTAGAAGCTGACAATTGTCAGCATGTAGAATGTGATGTTGGCATGTGCCTGCCGGTTGTTTTTTCGGTTTAAGGAATATCCTGGACATGAGACACAATGCTTGTTCCAACTGCTTGCTTCTACAACTGTTGTTGTTAGTGCTGTTGAGTCAGTTCTGACTCCAGTGACACTGCGTACAGCAAAGCTGAACCCTGCCTGGTCTTTTTGGCCATCCTGTCACTTTCCCGTGCTGTATCAGACAATACTCTGTTGCTATTCATAGGGTTTTCATGGCCAACTTTCTCAGAATTGGGTAGCCGTTCTTTCTTCCTAGTCTGTCTTAGTCTGGGAGCTCCAGTGAAACCTGTCCACCATGAGTGACCCTGCTGGTATTTGAAATACTGGTGGCATAGCTTCAGCATCACAGCAACACACAGCTGCCATAGTATGACCACTAATAGACAGATGGTATGGTTCCCTGACTAGGAAATGAACCTGGACTGTGGCAGTGAGAGCACCAACTCTTATCCACTAGGCCACCAGGGCTGGCTTCTATGTAGTGCCATAGTCTGTAACAATAACTCATTAAAACGCTTTTAGACGACAATACTTGCTTATTAAACATTTGAAATATTTTCACAAAAATTAAAGGTGATATAAGGTCCAAAGAATGCACTTGGGAAATATCTATTTACGTATCCAAATATTTGAAACCTCTTCCAGAATTGAGATCCCTGCAATAAAATGCCTTTGGAAAATGCCGCCGTGTGGACTGGCAGTTAAATTGCCATATATGGTGACAATGGAACGTTTTGCACTTTCGTTATCTAGTACAAATATAATGTGATACATATGTAATTTAAAATTTTCTAATAAACATTCATAAAATGAGAAAGAAATGTGAATTAATTCTAATACTATATTTTATTTAATGCAACATATCAAAATGTCATTTTAATGTGAGTCAAGGTTAAAAAACTACTGAGATATTTTATATTTTTTGTACTAGGTTTTCAAGTAACATATGTCTTATTGAATGAAGTCTGTATTTTACACTTACACCACATTTCAAGTGAATCCACACTTCAGGTGCTCTTGGACAGCACAGTTCTATCATTCCCCAGCCTTCAATCATTTTCTGAACCATTTGGAGACAAGAAAACCAGTGCGTCCTTGAAATAATGTCCAAATGCCCTGAGCCAGCGCACACCATGCATCATCACCGTCATCTTTTTGGAAGTCAGTCTTTTCAAAGTAACAGGCATATCTGAACAGCAGCCTTCTACTACTTGCTGAGAGTTATTAGACATTGTCTCTTGAATAAGATATGTAATTGGTTTTGTATTCAGTAGAGCTCTTCCTCCAGAATCCTCTACGTTTTCTGCCAGAGCTCCCGCGTGTTTTGGGCTGACTGCCACCTGCATATCTTCAGATAACTTTCAAGTCACACTTCGATCTGCACGCTTTTCAGACTTCCTGAGAAGGCTGTCTTTTCAGACTCTAAACTTAAGACAGTTCCTCCTTCGAGGGCAGCAGATGTTATAGCGTGGCCCAGATAGAAAGGTTGTGATGCGTCCCTAGTAAACAGGCGATACTTCAAATTTTCAGTGACAGCAAATGTAGTGGGACGTGAAAGAAGGAACCAGTTGTAGTTGTTGCTATGCTTTTCAAAGACGTCTGTAAGATTTCCTCATCTGTATCTCTGTCTTATTTTTTTTATATTAAACAGACTATCATTTTTAGTACTGTAGGGTTCTGCTTTGTCATAGTTTGGTCCAAGTCTCTTGCAGTACAGCTCAATACTGCTCACCTTTGGATTTTCCAAAGATGTTACAGCGACCACCGATACTTTTACTAAGCTTCATGCGTTGCACTTCTGAAATGTTTAGGAAATCTTTTGTTAGGTGGGCGAAGGTGACTGTGCCCTTGGTCTTGAGTTTTACCTCTGTGTGAATAATAATTTGCCTAAACATAGTTATCAAAACACAGTAAATGGGGCCGCCCAGTGGCCCGCTGGTTAAGTTCCTACACTCTGCTTTGGTGGCCCAGGGTTTTGCGGGTTTGGGTCCTGGGTGGACCTAGCACCGCTCATCAAGCCATGCTGAGGCAGCGTCCCACATGCCACAGCTACAAGGACTTACAACTAGAATATACAACAATGTACTGGGGGGACTTTGGGGAGAAGGAGAAGGAACAGAAAACCAGATTGGCAACAGATGTTAGCTCAGGTGCTAACCTTAAACACACACAAAACACGCAGTAAATGCTCCCAAGCAGCAAACCCTTAAGAAATGATACACTCAGTAGAAACCATCTTTCAGGCGTTGAGAACAGCGTGTGGCTCAAACGCAGGCGCAGGTTGGGACCTTGCCGCCCACGCGGCGGGGAGCTGGCTGCCCCGCTCCCCGCTGGTTCGGGGCTGGCTGGTTTCGAGGAGGGGCACGGCGTGGCAGCTATGGGCTTCGGGGACTGGGGTGCTATGAGTTTGAGATGTGCTAGAGGTTCTGGGCCTCTGGAATACCGACCAACAGTAAGATTGAAAATGAGCATACATCGAGCCACAGACGGCTCTGATGTTGACCATACTCCAACACTTAGAAAAAAAGAATTTGAAATTGTTTTACATCATGGTTGTGTATTCAATTCCTGGTATATATCTCATGTTAATTTTCATTGGGTCCTTTTTAAGGCTTTTGTTTATTTTACTTATAATATTCATTTTAGTAATTTACTTTAACTCTATGAACTTTTTTTGAGGGGGCCAGCCTGGTGGCATAGTGGTTAAGTTTGTGTGGTCTCCTTTGGTGGCCCTGGGTTGTGGGTTCCCATCCCAGGCACGGACTTAGCATCGCTTGTCAAACCATGCTGTGGTGGCATCCCACATAAAAGAGAGGAAGACTGGCGCAGACGTTAGCTCAGTGACATCTTCCTCAAGCAAAAAGAGGAAGATTGGCAGCAGATGTTAGCTCAGTGACAATCTTCCTCACAAAATATAAAATAAAAAAAATAAATCTGTGAACTTTTTGTTTTCTACAGAAATTTAAAAGACTTACCCCGGTGTTTTTTGTTTCCTTGTGCCCTACACTTTTTGTGGATGTGTGTGGTTAATCAGAGTCTCTTCTGTACTCTTTCCATCCCAATGTATAAGAACTAAAATTACTGAGAGTTTTGACTTAACCATACCACCTGTGGAGCATATGAGAATATACCACTTTTTGATATCATTGTGACTTTATGATCAACAAATCAAATATGACATTTGAAATCTTACTACTCTCTTAGATTTCATTTATTGTTCTTAATATATGCTGACCAGCAATTTGTAATTTATAGTCCAATGAAGAAAATGCTATTGATGAATACTCATGTAGTATATATTATATTGTATTAAAAGTATCGAACCTTTGGTATTTTGTTTGATCTATTTTTAAATATGCACTGAAAGAGCTTTTAATGTGACAAATTCCGAGTAATACATATTCATTGAAAGACTTTAAATATTCTTAAAGAATTTGGTAACATTGTGAGATTTTTAAGTCCTTTTCCAAAAGGGAAATACGAATTTTTATATTTTTTCTATTTTTGCTCACTTTCCAGATGCAACAGCTTGAGAGACAAGTTATTGATGCTGAACGTCAAGCAGAAAAAGCTTTTCAACAGGTAGGGTATAATTTTAGTAAAAAAATTTTTTCTGCCTCTACCAATATAAACATTGTTTTGCCCAAAACAGTCCTCAAAATAGTCCTCAGCCCTCCTCTACATGTTATCATTTTGATGGTTCATGAGCTGGATCCATAGGGAAAATGGAGAATCTAACTTTGTTTTGCCCTTTACCAAATTTTTGAAAGGATAAAAATGCCTGCATTAGGAATTTTTATTTACTTCCAAGAAAATCAAATATGGCTTTTATTGCGCTCCTAACCATAGTGAAATTTTATGTATAAATATGTTCATAGCAGCTTTATTTATAGTAACAAAGAGTTAGAAATAATATGAATGCCATATTATAAAGAATGAATAATTGACTATATCCACTCCATGAAATATTAAACAACCATTAAAAATAATTATTACTAAGGATAAGTACTAATATGGAAAAATACTTAAAGTTATATTAGGAAAAATATATACAAAATTTTATACTTAATATGTTAATAGATATGAAGGAGAAAAGTCAAATCTTTGATAAGTCACTTGACTCTTTCTGGGCCTTGCCAACAGTAAAATGAGTGGTTTGGATGAGTCTACCAGCCTTTTTTTTTCATGCCTTTTTTTGGTGAGGAAGATTGGCCCTGAGCTAACATCTGTTGCCAATCTTCCTCTTTTTTTTTTTCTCCCCAAAGCCTCAGAACGTAGTTATATGTCCTAGTTGTAGGTCATTCTAGTTCTATGTGGGATACTGCCACAGCATGGCTTGATGAGTGGTGTGTAGGTCCGTGCCCAGGATCCAAACCAGTGAACCCCGGGCCGCTGAAGCAGAGCACATGAACTTAACCACTTGGCTACGGGGCTGGCCACCCTACCAGGCTTAAAGTTTGTCAGTGATCCTAAATCTGTAACTTCACATTTTATCAAAAGATCTCTGTCAGATTCAGTCAAGTCAAATACTTCAAAATTAGGGGCTGGTGTAGTGGTTAGGTTTGCATGCTCCACTTCAGTGGCCTGGGGTTCCCAGGTTCGGATCCTGGGCACAGACCTACACATCGATTATCAAGCCATGCTGTGACAGGCATCCTACATATAAAATAGAGGAAGATGGGCACAGATGTTGGCTCAGGGCCTATCTTCCTCAGCAAAAAGAGGAGGCTTGGTGGTGGATGTTAGCTCTGGGCTAATCCTCCTCTACCAAAACAACAATTGAAAGTTATTATTTCTTCCAGTAAGTGTATATTAAATTTCTTATACTTGCTCTAAGATTGTCATATTTCTTCCCTTCAATTTGAGTACTACCAAATCTTGTTTTCACCTAAAAGATTTAATTTTACACAGTGGATCGTTTTAGTGGCCTGACAAATTTCTAAATAAACCCATTCTAACTTAATCCTTGATTTTCTTGCCAAATCCTTGATTTCTATGCCATATTTCAACTACTACAAGGGTAGAGAAAATAGTATAATGAACCCCCATTGCCAACTTCAACAAGTAGTCGCTTCATGGCTAGTGCATACCTCCATTCACTTTTTCCCTTACCACCTCCACACTGGCTTATTTTGAAACAAATCCCAGACATCATATCATTTCACCCATGAGTATTTCAGCAACTAATCTAAAAATAAAGACTTAAAAGTCGTAACTACAGTACCATCATCACACCAAAAAATTACTGATAATTCTTAAAAATTTAGGTATTAGTTGCAGTACCAGTGGTAATGGTAAAATCTGTGCTGTGCTTGGTTGTTTATATTCTTTAGCTGATGAAGAGTAGTATCTCCACTTATATCTATAAAAAGCCAATAATTAACAGTAAAATCATGAAAGGTCACTTCTAATCTATGAAAGACTGTAATGTTTGTGTGACTCTCTGTCATTCTACGCCGAGTGTCTTTGTCTTTTTCGGTAGTGTCCCTGGTTAGCCCCGTGCCTTGCGGCACACATTTGTCAGTTTGCCTCTCCGACTGTCATGTCTCCCTTCTTGTCTTTCCCTTTCCAACTTTAGCCTTTCCTGGTGACATCCCTCTTTACCTCTATACCCGTGGCTGTCTCTGTCTGTTTGTTCTTCCCTATGTTTCCCTTCCTTTTCTTTCTCTCCTTTAACTGCTCACGTTACAGGGGGAAAAAAAGGAAGAAATTGACTATGGTTTTGTTTTGCCTTTCTTAATTAAAATTCTTAATTCATATATGTGGCAAATTTGTTTAGCTCTGAAAATTAAACTAAATTAAGTAGTTTTTTTATTTGTGATTTTCAGAGTTTTTTCTCTGATTCACTGGATCTTGAGAGAAAAGAAGGATCCCTATTCCCAATTCAAGGGAAGCAAACCCTGGTGGTTTGTAGCCATCAGGCCCAAACACTGATCTTGATAAGTTAACAGGAAGAGTTTCTTATTTGAAGTTGTCACTTGAGGACATCAAGTGTAAAGTTATTTAATTCTGTGTGCTACATTTTTAGGCAAAAAGACACTTGATTGGTTATTTTAGACATACTGCCTTAAATCAAACTCTGCCTCCGCCAAAAGAAGAGTGAGAATTGCAAATCTCCTGGAGTTTCTATACAATTTAGCAAAATATATAGCTTTTTCTTTTTGTCACAACACTTTAAGTTTATTCACTACCTATTTTGTTATACTTCAGAGGAATTTTTTCCTTAAATGCTTCATAATGAATCTAAAAGTTGACAAGAAATATAGAGAGCAGATGAATTCTCATGCACCACTTATATCACCTTTTTTTGGCCTTTGCAAGACTAAGTAAATGTTATTAACTTAGAGTAACTGAATCCTTTGCTGTCTTTAACAATTACCATGGGACTGTGGCCTATCTGCTATTTATGTTGCTTGAATTTAGCTTATCCTTTGTCACTGAGCCATATCCTAAGACTTAAACTGTATTTATGTTAACCAAAAAGGAATGTTTCAACACCAAAAGCAGTAGTCAGCAGAAACCCGCTCCACTCAATGCTTTATTTAGCTTTGTACATTTTTCTGCTTGTTTATTAATGAGTGGTATCACCTGTATAACCGTTAAATAAGATGCCTATAGAAAAAAGTCACACGTTTCTCCAGAGAAATCTTGGCAATCTTTATACTTAATGCTATAGAACATTTTTATTGTTGCTATTCACAAGTTTTGAAAACAGCGTGTGTAAATCAACCCAGTACTACTAATGGGTGTTCTGTGAGACAGAAAAAGCAGCGAATAGCACGTTTGGGAGATCCTGATACACAGGATTCCTTCTCGAGTATCTGGTAAGGTGTATACTCCAGTCTGTTACACTAATTTGTGCTAACCGAAGAGGGGCAGATAATTTCCCCTGTAAAAGTTTGTGTTTTCGTTCTGTCCTTCTGGGCTTTGATCCCTTGCCTGTATGTGATTCAGACTTGTTAGGAGCTGGATTTAAAGTTCCCTCTGACCATTCTAATATGTGGGCTAGTCTGCCTTTCTGTCAATTTGCTTCTTGATAAATGATTACTACTCAGTTCTTCTGATATCCAGGACTTTGTAGTGATTTGCTTCATTACATGGAAACCTACTTTGTCCAGTGCTGTTCCTTTTCACCTTCAGTGAGAATAGTTCTGGTCTTACTGCGTAAACTATAGAGTACTATGCCAAAATAATTGAGTTTAAAATGTGATTAGAATGATTAATTAATGTGCAATAAATTTTAAATAACTGGAAAATGGTCTGAGACTCAAAATACTCTTACAAGGCCTTTCTTCATTCTATTTTAGAACTATCAGGTGTCTTTGTCTGCCGTTGTAATGTATAGATAGAAATAGAAATTTTCAACCCCCACTCAAAAATACAATCACATCTTGATTACTTGTAGTTGGGGAGAAAGGGATGAGGTTGGAAATGAAAGGAAGGAAATACTGATATGGGTAATTGCAATGGGA